CACAAGTTTCCTTGAGTCCTCCCCAGTACCTCTTATTCCCCAAGAATTCTTTCTATCTACTACACCTCTTAGTCATTTCCAAATCCCTCAGGCCTCCTTTGGGGTCCCTCTTGGACCCCATTTGCCTTTCTACTGTACACCATTATCAGTCTTACTTTACAGCAACCCCAATGTGGGCCTTACCTCCGAAGGCAAGTTGAAAGCCTGGCCCACATCTGGGATGCTATAAAGGAAGATTGATAATGGGGGCTGCAGCTGGAACAAAGAGAGTCCTTTTTGTCTTATGATTGGAATCTTCAAAGAGATCCCCTATGTGAGGATCTCCCAAATCTTGCTTCTAGATATCAGTGCCATACTTTGTTTGAATTCTGAAAAAAATACCATAAAAATTTATAGATATAAAATACTTTCATTTTTAAAAATCCTCACTCGAGAATATTTTTTCCATTGCTTTTCAGAGAGAGCAGAAAGGAGGGAAGGAGAGAGGGGGGGAAGGAGGGAAACAGAAAGAGGAGAGAGACAGAGACATTGATGTGAGAGAGACACACCCACTGGTTGCTTCCCGCATGATCCCCGACCCGGATGGGGAGCAAACCAGCAACTGAGGTATGTGCCTTTGACTGGGAATCAAACCTGAGACCCTTCGGTCTGTGGGCCTGTGCTGTAACCATTGAGCAACATGTGCCAGAGCATAAAATATTTTCTTGATTTCATGACAGGGGTAGGAGACAGGGTATGAGGGGTGTTTACTTCATATGAACCTAGGTGATGCTTTAAGTATGTTACTTAATTTTGTCAGACCTGATCAGAGCATGTAAGGTCCTCTATTCAAAGATGCTGTGCGATTAATTCCTTTTATTTAATTATTTACCCCTAAATATACATTTTTAATTGAGGAGTTTTTATTTGCATGACTCACACACTCTCTGTCTCCTTTTTCAATATGTGTCGATATCAAATTAGACAATAAAGTCATTCAAAATAAATTTATTTCTGTGTGAAGAGACTCAAAATTTATGATCATGATATAAAAGTATGCATTTTTATATTTAGTAATATATTTTCCAATACCTATATTCAGATTGTAACTTTTATACATAGCATGTTTTCAAATTTTACTATAATCACTCTGCCATAGACTTCTATGTTGAATCTTTACTTTTCTTTCTTTATTTTTCTTGAATGCCATCCAGAAAACATCAGGGATGCTCCACAATCACTTTAAGTACTACAGCTTTCTGAATAGTGAAAAAGGACCACATGGTCTGATGTATCTGGCCTTTGTCCTACACTATGAATTCTCAGTGATTGATGTGTCATAGTCCAATATCTCAGACTATTTTCCAAAGGAGAGGAGGGGCTTGAATTATAATTCTATTTCATTAATTTTTTCATTGAGAATTGCAAGGAAGTGCTATAGAAAAATCATATTGTAAAAGATTAAGCCTTCAAAGAGTTCCTCTATGTTCAGTGAAATTTCATTATAACAGTTTCAGCTTGACCTTGAACTGGGTAGCATGGATCAGAAGGATAATCATGTATACTTATTTTTATTTTTGGTATTCAACAGCGATTAGTAAATGATAGTTACCCTAAACATTTATCACTTGGTGATAATGTACAAGATTTTGCTGAAAGCCATGACAAAGATTATATGGAAGAAGTAATTTTTCCAGATTTACTTGAAGTAAAAGCTGCTGAATATGAAGATGATCAAGAACAAATCAAAAGACAACAGATAAATATTTTTGTGCCAAGTAGTTCTTCAGGTAAAGTTCTTTTACAATAAAATATTTAAGTCATTAATGAATCATATTAAAGGATAATAGCTTTTTTCTATGCTGGATAGATAAAATGTACCAATCTAGCCCCGGTTGGTGTAGCTCATTTGGTTGGAGCATCTTCCCATATACCAAAAGGTTACGGGTTTGATTCCAGTCAGGGCACATATGTAGGTTGTGGGTTTGATCTGAAAGGCGACAGATGGATGTTCTGTTTCACATTGATGTTTCTGTTTTCCTCTCCACCCCCCCTCTCTTCCTCCTCTCTCTCCCTCTCCCTCAAATCAATAAGCATATCCTCAGGTGAGGATAAAAAAAGGACTGTTCTTAAATTATAGAATATTTTCTATATTTGTTCTTCATGCCTTCTCTGAGTTTAAGAGGATTGATTAAAAGAACTCTGTGTGTGTGTGTGTGTTTGTGTGTGTGTGTGTGTGTGTGTGTGTGTGTGTGTGTGTATTTAAGCTTGCTACTAGACTTTAGTTCCCCTTTGCTTCTTGTTTGGTCAATACCAGTTTAACATGTTGGACTTTAAAGTAATATGTAGGTTTTGTTATTAAGTGGTCAACCAACGTAAACTGCCAAAAGATATGATGCCACGCATTTTAGAAGACGAAGGATTCTATATACAGAGAAAGCCAAAAATATATAAAAAGACCTGCAACAAAATGGAAAATCGCCTGCTTCAACTAGAAGAGGCAAGTGCACCAGCTAACAAGTTAAACCACTCACTGACAGTATGTGATATTTATTTTTGATGAAATATTTAATTACTATGTTTCTTAAATATTTTTGATAGGGAATGTGTTGGTTTGAAGAAAGTGCTGAAATAATGTCATTACCTTCACCTATTAGCCAGTCATGGAAATTCAGACTAAATATAAGCAAGGAATCTTTAAATCCAGCACTAAAGACCATATACAGGAAGGTAACCAATTACAGTTTACTTGTAATTATGGTTAGAATTCTTGTAATGCTGATTATAACTTACATTTTTGCGGTGTTAATTCACCCTTTAAATATATTAATGTCTACTAATATAATGCCAAAACTATGATGAAATGTCAAATATCCATTAAAATTACGTTTTTGAGGAATATTTAATGATATGGGTAAATGCTCAAAATAAAATGTGAAGTGAAAAAAAGAAGAATGAAAAATTAAATCTGATCCTAATTTTATAAAAATAATGAATTTATCAATGAACGGACAAGTACGTATATGTGTACATAGATTAAAAGACTGAAAAGTATATCAAAGTAAATAATTGTCTCTAGATAGCAGGATAGGATTATTTTTATTTTGCTCAAGCTATAGCACAGATATTTTAACATAATTATCAGAGACCATTGCTGTTGGAGAGAGAGGTCCTTGAAACAGTGGAAGCTTGTTGAATGAGTGAGTACATGAATGAATGAATGAGCAAAAGGATGGTAGGTAAATGTAAAACATACCATTTTTGGAGAAATGTTAACCCCCATCCAGATTAACCTTTGTAGACATCCAGATTCTGATGTTGGAAGCCACTGGGCTGAACAAGTAACTTTTTCATCCAAGCACAATTTCAGTATTCAATGGACCCTTAGAGTTGGGAGTAAATGTATATGTCACTTCACCAAGCATCTAAACTGAGTATTCAAATTCATTCTGTAGCATCCTTAACAGGTAATGTGTTGAAAGTTGTGTCAGACAACAATGGGTTTTTTTGTTAATCTTCACCTGGTGATACTTTTCTGTTGATTTTTAGAAAGAGTGGAAGGGAGGGAGGGAGAGAAAAGCATCGATTTGAGAGAGACACATTGATTGGTTGCCTCACTCACGTGCCCCAACCAGGGCCGGGGATTGAGCCTGCAACTGAGGTACATGCTTGTTACTGGAATCGAACCCAGGACCCTTCAGTCTGTGGGCCGGTTCTCTGTCCACTGAGCCAAACTGTCTAGGGTGGAACAGTGTTTTAATAAGGGTTTACCATTTAACTCTGGCCCACAGATGACTATTATATCATCACATAGTCAAGCTATTGACTCAGCAGTTCTGAACACCATTTGTCATAGTGTTCCTATAGGAAATTATTTGGGAGCTTACAACTTGAAAGTTCAACCTCTATCAGCACATAACAGTATTATAAACAATAACTTATAGCAAGATTATTAAAATGCTGTACTATAAATATATAGGATTTCCCCCTAAAATTTATACACACTTTACAGCTGATAGCCCAATTGATGTTTCTTTTCATATTTTAACCCATTGGAATTAATAATTATTCAAAGTGTGTATACATATTTTTGGGACACTCTGTATGGAATCAAGGGCCATAATCAACTTTAAGAAAAAAGGATCAAATTATTGTTTTTTTTATTTTCTGTGTCTTAATTTTCTTACAATTAAAATGTTACTCTTAAAAAGGTAATTTAAAAAGAAATAGAACCAAATTAACTTTGTGTACACATTTTTCTTTAAAGGCAGTGAAATCTGATTTAGAAAGCTCTATTAGGACCAAAATGGAAGGTCAAGGGAAAATGTACCAATTAGATCTCAACATTGTGGGTTTGCAATTTAGCCATCATCCTGTCTTCAATCAAGAACAAGTATTATGTGCTAGGCTGCTCCAACTTTATGAGTGTTTTCAGGACAGACAGCAACAGAATTTATCTCAGCTCCTTTTAGAGAAGGTGAGAATGGCTTTTATTATATTATTGGGCTGAACATTTAATATTGAAAGAGTAAACAAACCTCTTAGTACAGAGCAAGTTATCATAGGACATTTTCCCTTAGCATTTTAATTATTGATATAATAAAAAACCAGTGGTCATGACGCCGTAATGACTAAAGACCAGCACAGGTGGGAGGGGCTGCAAGCATGGCGGGGGCGCGAGCTGGTGGGTGGGGTGCACACGGGTGAGCGGCCCCTCGCGAGCACAGTGAGGCGCTCGCAGGTTGGCGGGGCCGCGTGATTCAC